CCTGGCTGCTTACGTCACCCCGCTCGTGACGTCTCGCTTCGCTATTGGACTGATTTCACACAGGCTTCAGTACGGTGTCTCGCCGAGGGCGTTCCCAAAGCGTTCGACGCAGCGTCTCGTTCCCTTCAGGGAACCATGGTTACATACGTAACCTAGAGACGTTTCATGACCGAACTATATATATATATATATAGTTATATATATAGGAATTTTACAGGTCAAATTATACCTTTTGCAGCAATATGACATTGCTGTTCCTCAATGTCATGCTATACAGTCTTAAAAATGTATGGAGCACAAAAGGACAGGATGGGGGGAAAAAATTTAATGTTCTCTTGCAAAACGTGTGTAATGGAAATAATATGAGGTGGGAAGACAAGCTGTATTTCAGTGCTTTTGTGAACAAGTGCAAAGTTTTGTTTTTTCCATCACCATGTCCCTCCATAGGCATGCTAAAAAAAACTACATAATATACTTACTCTCTAAACATTTATTAACATTTTCTTGAATTGTATTAAACATATACATATAAATATTCGCATTGAATGTTTTAGTATTGAAACACATTTGTCTGCACATATGCCAGAAGTCTTGTTAAATGTGTGAGACAGCTTATAATAGGAGACAAAACAGCTGACAGTTCCCAGTTTCAAATCTGCCAGTATTCTTAATGAATATGTAAAAAAAAAAAAAAAAAACAGCTGTTAAGGGTTTTAATGGCATTTTAAAGTACAGGGAGCGTGCTGTAATATATTTTCTACATTTTCTCACATTTGTTAGAACATCTCTCTAATTTAACTGCTAATGAGTAAAGAGCGATAATAACAAAGAACTTTTAGAACAAAGACTTCGTTAATAGGTTTTCTGTCTTAACCGGTTTATCCGTTTTCCTAAATCCTGTGCAAGCACATTGCAGGACAGGTGAGTGATGCAGTAAAACCTGTAAACTGCCTTGCTTGTCTCTGCTTTTATCTGAAGCACACTGGTGGAGTTGAAAAGGCCTTTGGGGTCCTGGAGACTGCTGGTGTTGTAGTCGCCTCTGTCCACAGTGGTGCCACTGACCACCCAGGACACTGAAGGGTCCGGATACCAGCCACTCGCTTGGCAATGGAAGATAACAAGCATCCCCTCTTGAACTGACTGATCACTCTCCAAAATCCTGACATTTCCTTTTTCTAGATTTTAAATACAAGACATAAGGATTTTGAGTTCTATTTCCTCAACAGGTTGAAATATTCCAAATACTATTATCTTATAAATGGTATTATGTTTGTGTGCACTCTGATGGAAAAAAAAATTATGAGGAAAAAATACATTTCAGTGCTTTTACATTTGCTCGCAAAACTAACCCACTATTTAGTACTATAGTGATACATTATTTCCATCAGACATTTCGCAAGAACCACAAAGCTTCCAGGTAAACACAACATTCTCGTTAATAGGTTTTCTGTCTTAACCGGTTTATCCGTTTTCCTAAATCCTGTGCAAGCACATTGCAGGACAGGTGAGTGATGCAGTAAAACCTGTAAACTGCCTCACTGCTGACAGCTCAACCTACATTGTGTCCTTGCTGTTGGTTCAATTTATGGCAAGCACTGCTTTAACTTCCCTCTTCATTGGTTTAATAACTTGCAGGAGAGTTTTAAAAGGAACTTTTAAGAGAAATGTCAAATGGATTCGCTTACTTGTCACTTTTTTTCTATAGTACAAGACCAGGATGAGCACTGCCAGCAGAATGATCGTACACACCGACACTATCACAGCGATCACAACTGTGTAGTCCTGTGGAGTATTCGGTGCCACTGCAAAACACATTTGTACATTTATGGCAATTTTATATGGACAAAATTGACCCAGTGCATTTATGCAGTATGTTGTAGCTATGAGAGAAATTATTTACAACCCACTGTAATTACTGTCATTTATATCATCACATTTTGATTGTAAAACACCTCATGCATATTAGTTTATGTGCATGAGGAGCTCATTAATATCCATTCACTCTTACCTACAGTCAGCTTGAGACTGCTGCTCTGGTGGGCTCGAGCGGCAGACACAGATGCCCAACACTCCACCATGGTGCTCGTCTCTGCTTTCATCTGAAGCACACTGGTGGAGCTGAAAAGGCCATTGGGGTCCTGAAGACTGCTGGTGTTGTAGTCGCCTCTGTCCACAGTGGTGCCGTTGACCACCCAGGACACTGAAGGGTCCGGATACCAGCCACTCGCTTGGCAATGGAAGATAACAAGCATCCCCTCTTGAACTGACTGATCACTCTCCAAAATCCTGACATTTCCTTTTTCTAGATTTTAAATACAAGACATAAGGATTTTGAGTTCTATTTCCTCAACAGGTTGAAATATTCCAAATACTATTATCTTATAAATGTTATTATGTTTGTGTGCACTCTGATGGAAAAAAAAATTATGAGGAAAAAATACATTTCAGTGCTTTTACATTTGCTTGCAAAACTAACCCACTATTTAGTACTATAGTGATATATTATTTCCATCAGAAGTTTCGCAAGAACCACAAAGCTTGCAGGTAAACACAACATTCTCAAGGTATGCATAACTTTTGTGAGAGAATTTTTGCACTCTGGCCCAAAAATTTATTTGGGAACTCGTGGCACACCTAAATAATTGTTCATTTTATTGCATTAAATAACAAAACATCAACACTCTGAAAATGTCTGTAAAAACCAGGCACTTTGTTTATATGAAAGATTTTTCCATTTTCAATATTGATTTTTCACAAGTGTTTTTTCACCCCTTTTTTTATTATGCATTGTATTGTGTTGTCTATTTTAGGGGTTAAGGAAATGTCTGTAAACTTAATTTATTTATTTATTTATTTATTGAAAATCTAAAATTAAAAAAAAAGGTAATATGTGTTGGGGTTTTTTTTTTGTTATGTATATATATTTTTGTTATGCATCATATTTGATGCATCCAGCTTTTATGGCTCATATAGTCTTAATAGCAGTATAACAGACATACAGATATATACATACAGATATCAGTTGTCACTCTATAGCTCGCATAGTACAATGTTTACACTATAGTAAATATATAAAGCAATACAATGCAATACAAACAAATGTTCCTCAAAAGCCTAATGTATCATATTTGATACTCACATTTGAACATGATTCTTCTAGAAAGTGACATATGCTTAATCAAGTGAACCTAAGTTGCTTCAGTCCAGTAGCTTAAATGTTCAAATGTTTCTAAAAATATTTTTTGAAATATTTTTAAAAGTTACTTTTATGTTTCGTTTATAAAAATCATTAATTATTTGACGGCAAAAAGACGTGTGCCACATCTTGAAGAAGGGCATTTTTTAAAATTAAACAAAAAAGAAGTTTTTTTTTGTTAAATGTTTTGCTTGGGAATCATTCTTCTGCTATTTTTTTAATTAATGTCACTTGGTTTGATGTTTTGTTAAATATTGCAGTGCGGCTCAGGTGTTAAATACTTTTTGGAGCCACTGTATATGTGCGTTTCTTTCCACTAAAAGCAGACGTGATTGTATTCTTTTTTAAATGATTGATGGTTCATAATTGACTGGTTGATGTGTGACTGGTAAATGTGTGACAGCTAAATTGTCTCTTTTAAAGGCCACATTATGGGCTTTTTTATTCACCCTGGAAAGAGAAACAAAAGGTACAGCAGTGGATTGTTATAGACAGCTGCATAATTAGTTGAAATTTTCGCTTTCTCTTAGTGAATTGCATGGCCACAGCAATTCATTTGTAAAGTCTTTACTGTGTAAGGTTACTGATTGTCTTATAAAGTCATGCCATAAACCTTAGAGTCTTAGTTTAAAGAAAAAAAAAAAAATATATATATATATATATATATATATATATTTATTTAGATGTTGCCAATATTGTATGTTTCAGCATCTACCCAAACATTCATAAAAGTATGTTTTTGTACCTTACGTGTAAATACATATCAACAATGACACCAGGCTGATCAGCACAAACAGTATGTGAGTTATGAGTCAAAGTAAGATATACTCTTAGAATACAGATTGAGTATTAAATACTGTATTTTTTGGTGATAACAATAAGAGTTACATAAATATCGTCCACTAAGCCTGTGTCTGGTCCTGACAGTGTAATTTGACAGCAGAGCAGCTCTTCCCTTGTTAGCTGGGTGATTTTTTTTCCAGCAGGAGGGCCAGGCAGGGAAAATGACTGTGTATGAGACAGCATTTAATCTGGAAGAAGTATGGCTGCCCATGCCCCTAATGAAAAGCTTTGTGAGCAATCCTGTGTCCGAAAGGCTGACACACGTTTAGCCTTTCCTGATTTACATCCTAAGTCTGATTCTCTTGCCAAGCTAATTAATTGAGGAAAGCCATACAGAAAGTAAATATGGATCAGAGACAGGCTACGTCCCAGTTCACATACTCTCCACCCTAAATACTATTCACAATTACTATTCAAAGGGGTCATAGGATGCCTATTTTCCACAAGCTGATATGATTCTTTAGGGTCTTAATGAAAAGTCTGTAACATAGTTTGGTTAAAATGTCTCAATGGTAGTGTAAAAACACTTTTTTACCCTGTCAAAAACAGCTCTTTTCAGATCAAGCCGTTTTTGTAGCATTTTCCTTTAAATGTTAATGAGCTCTGCTGACCCCGCCCCTCACTTCCGAGCTGCTCTCAGAGAGACTGTTTACTTTAGCCGCATTCATCGTGAAACTTGCTAATTAGCACATTATTAGGAAAGGCGATTTGCAAAGATTCATTACAAAACATTATACTCACTTCTTCTGTAGATGAGGCTGGATCATGAATGATTCGCGCGAACATAGACCGCATTTAGGCAGATCGGGGGAGCATTCCCTTCAGAAACAAACGAAATCCACTGCGTCTTCGGCGGCTCAGATGTCGGGAGTAAATGACGACTGCTATGTTCATTATCACATCCAACAACAGAACACCTCAATCGCTTAGGAGTCATTCTTGTCTACATCTGCTCCAGCAGTGAAACAATGGCGGACTGATGACAGCTCACTCAGAGCGGAGCTAAGGTAGACGCCAGTCCAGTCTGTGCTGAAACGCTACTGCCAATCAAACTATCGTGGGAGGGGCCTGTCTGTGTGACGTCACACAGACAGGCATCTGAGATCGGCTCGATTTGAGAAAGGGGAAAACATTTAACAAGATT